GTTGAAGCACAAAGAGATGAGCATACAGGCTCGGTTTGCCGTGGCTGTGTTTTCTTTTTCGCCATTATTTAACGAGTCAAATTCCTTCATGGCATAACAAACAAAAACTAAACATAAATAAAGAGTCTACTAGCGGATGGGTTTGATTACTACAAATGTATGCCTTCATCAGACTTCCTTAGTAGAAGGAATCCATGTACAATCATTATTATTAAGAGCCAGTGTGAATACAGAGATAAAAAAAATATCACCAAATGCAAAATACTTACACAGAAAAAAATTAAGAATAATGTTCAAAAAGCAGCATAAGAAATACAATTAATTAACTATAAGGGAGCTCCCATAAGACTGTCATGTGATTTCTCAATAGAAATTTTTTCAGGTCAGAAAGAATTGGCACAAAATATTCAAAATGATTAAAGCAAGGACCTACAACCAAGACTACCCTACCCAGCAATGATATCATTTAAAATTGAAGAAGAAATAAAGGGCTTCTGAGACAAGAAAAAGCTAAAGGAGTTTATCAGCAACAAACCAGTATTGTAAGAAGTGATAAAGAAACTTCTTTAAGAAGAAGAAAATAAGAACATACAGTAAATGTAAATAATAAAATGGCAATAAATATGTACCTATCAATAATTACATTAAATGTAAATGTATTACCCCCAGTTGGGTGGCTTAGTTGGTTGGAGTGTCATCCAGTACACCAAAAGACTGTGGGTTTGATTCATGGCCAAGGTACATACCTAGGTTGTGGGTCCCATCTCTGGTCAGGACACATATGGGAATCAACTGATTGATGTTTCTCATCTCTCTCTCTCTCTCTCTCTCCCCCTCCTCTCTCTGTCTCTTCCTCCCTTCCTCTCTCTCTAAAGTCAATAAAAACATATCCTTGGGTGAGGATCTATAATAATAAAAGCATAATATGCTAATTAGACTGGACAGCCAAAAGACCTTCCAGACAAACTTCTAGACAAAGCCAGGGGGCCAAGGCAGCCACCGTGGCTGCAAGGGCCGAGGCAGCCGCCATGGCTGCGAGGACTGAGCCCATTGCATGAATTTCGTGCATTGGGCCTCTAGTTTAAAAATAAAATAAAATAAAATAATATAAATATAAATGGATTAAATACTCCAATCAAAAGACATTGGGTAGCTGAATAAGAAAACAAGACCCATATATATGCTACCTACAAGAGACCCACCTCAGATCGAAAGACTCAGACTGAAAGTAAAGAAATAGAAAAAGTTATGTCATGCAAATGAAAACAAAGGAAAGCTCACTTAGTAAGACTTACATGAGACAAAACAGACTTTAAAACAAAGGTTATAATAAGGGACAAAGGAGGATAAAGGGATCAATCCAACAAGAGAATATAACCCTTGTAAAACATTTAAAGACACAATATAGCATCTTAACTATATAAAAGAAACTTTTGATGGACATAAAGAGAGAGAACAATATTAATACAGTTATAGTAGGGTACTTTAACATCCCCATTGACATCAATGGATAAAGCTTCCAAACAGAAAATCAACAAAGAAAGGAGGGCCTTGAATGTCACCTTAGGACAGATGAATTTAATTTATATTCTCAGAGCATTTCACAAGAAAATAGAATATACATTCTTTTCAAGTGCAAATGGAACATTTTTCAGGACAGAACACATGGTAAGCCACAATACAAGTTTCAATAAATTTAAAAAGATTGAAATCATATCAAGCATCTTCTCCAACACAATGAATGTAGAATTACAAGAAAAAAACTGAAAACACACACACAAATACATAGAGGCTAAATAACATGTTACTAACAAGGACTGTGTTAACAAGGAGATCAAGGAAGAAATCCAAAGATGCCTTAAGACAAATGAAAAGAAAAACTCAACAACCCAAAATCTATGGAACACGACAAAAGCAGTCCTAGGAGGACTCCCATCTCAAGAAACAAGAAAAATCTCAAATAAACAATATAAATTTACACCGAAAGAAACTAGAAAAAGAACAACAAACAAAGACCAAGTGAATAGAAAGAAGGAAATAATAAAATTCAGAATAATAATAAACAAAATAGAGTCTAACAAATATACCAGATATATATATATGTATGTATAGATATAGATATATAGATAGATATAGATATAGATCTATAGATAGATATATAGATAGATAGATACTAGAGGCCCTGATACACAAAATTTGTGCAAGGGGCTTGGCCCTCGCAACCGCGGCTGCTGCCTTGGCACTCGCAGCCCCGGCATCGTCTGGAAGGTCATCCAGAAGGACGTCTGGTCTAATTAGCATATTACGCTTTTATTATTATACTAGAGGCCCGGTGCACAAAAATTTGTGCACTCGGGGGGGGGGGGGTGTCCCCCAGCCCGGCCTGTGCCCTCTCACAGTCTGGGACCCCTCGGGAGATAACGACCTGCTGGCTTAGGCCTGCTCCCGGGTGGCAGAGGGCAGGCCCAATCCCTAAGTGCAGCCCCTGGGCAGGCTCAGAGCAGGGCCGATTGGGGAGTTGGGGCACTG